TTTTCTGAGTTTTTGGCGATTGACTATCTTTAAATCACTGCTTCCTGGTACAACAGTCGGCTCTGGAAGGATCGCTTTTTTTTTTTTTTTTTTTTTTTTTTTTTTTTTTGAAGCGAGTGGTTGAAGCAAATGGAGCATAAGAGCCCCCTGGTGGCTGAAGAAAAAAATCCATGTATAAGCCGCACCGGACTATAAGCTGCATGGTTCAAAGTTCAGGATAAAAATCGCAGCTTATAGTCCGAAAAATACGGTAATTGTTTAATTAATCTTAAATCCTGTCAACCTGGATTAATTCTCAATCACTCTAGCAGAATAAATACAAACACCAAGTCTATTAGAACTGGCCAATAAAGGAGAAAGACTGGTGCCTGGGCTGGTTTGGGCCCACCAGGACAAATGGACTCCAGGTGGGAGTACCTGTTTGTTTAGTTAGGTGGAGCCCTGAGAACAGGGTACAGCTCACTTCCTGTATGTGAGCTGCTGTTTTCTGAACCTGTTTGTATTTTCTGCAGCTGTGGCCTCTCATGGTTTGGAGGTTTCTTACCTTTGACTCGTATCCTGTGAGGAACTTCATTTCTCTGGATTTGAGCAGGACACCTTCTCTGTTCTGATCTGCAGCTGCCTTAATGATCTGAGGAGAAAACCACAGTGACACGTGTGTACTGAAAGGACTGAAGGTTTGTCTCTGTGACATTATTTACAGATTGTACAACGGGTTTATGACTTTTCCTCTCTGCACATCAGACTTTGAACAGTTTGCACCAAGAAGTGCAAGAGACGCTCACTTTATGTAAACAAGTGAGCATCAAAATCAGCTTTGATCATTTAAAAACTTTTTATTATCAACAAGAAATGTGAGGAGAATGAACATCTACTGCTGACTGGAGTCGACCCAAACCAAGATGTTCTCTGCAGCTGATGGACCTTAGCAAACACAAACCAGTGTTTTTACATCTGTTCTCAGTTTTCACAGGATGAATGATGAAAACATGATTAGTGTAAAGTTTTACAGTGATGAAGGTGATGCTAACTGCAGACAGTTTTTTAACAACATCATCAGCATTAAGTTAGCATCAACTGTAGGGCTGCAACTAACCATTATTTTAATAATCAATTAATCTGTCGATTATTTTTTTGATTAATCGATTAATCGGCAAAATCATTAAAACGCTTAATTACATAAATATGAGTAGATATAAATTAATTACATTTCTGTATAAATTAGGGATGCAAGTTATCGATTAATGAATTAATCTGAAGTTGATTTATCTTATAGATTGATTTCCAATTAATTGGAATTAAGCAGCCATTTTCTTTAAAAATGAGTTTTCTCTTGAATCAAGAAGGTGTTTCCATAACATGAAGGATTATTTTATAAACTCCTGAATTAAAAAACAAGCACATCATAAATATTTTAACAGTTTATTTTGCCAGCTGTATTAAATACTGACTGAAAAAGTGTATTTCTCCTACATGAAACAGAAATTTAATAGGTTTCTGAATGACGAAAATAGAATAAAATATGATTTTTAGATGTAAAACTTATTAATTTATTATAATGAGAATATATTTACATTTAACATTAATAATTTTTCTCTAATTCTTTAC